CCGAGGACCCCAAACAGTCAGTCAGGCCGTCTAGACTTTCCTACGAGGCCGGCTTAAACTAACTGTTGTGTTTTTTCTAAGTTGTCAGTTAGTAATTAGCCTTCAAAATACTGACTTCCAGTGGGATATCTAACAGGTTTATTTGGAAACTGTGTGTCGCATTATTCACACACTGATGAAAATCAGACAACAGGCAGGTCTGGCTAGAGAGGACCGCCAAGAACAGAACAAAATGGAGATGTGCGTCGGTGGCACAGTGGTTAGGACTCTCACCGACCATGAATATGGTCCGGGGTTCGATCCCCTGCCGACGCACACCCGATATCTATGGTCCGCCTGAAAAATTTGGGCTACTGATATCACATACTGAAAATTCCATACTTGTACCAAAAAATACGGTGTGGAATCAAGCTGTAATCAAAAAAATTCCTACGTCCCACTCGGAACCCAAGGGAATAATAATCACCTGGTACCGTCAATGTACTAAATTTGTTTTTTAATAAATAACAATAATAAAACCGCATGGAAAGGAAAATCAAGACACACAACAAAGACAGCATAACAATGTGAACATAACTACCGGTAGCAATAACCTACTACTACTACTTTACACTGGAGATAATGATTTTGAACAAGACATTTACATATCGATTTTATGCAAAAAAAGAAAGAAAAATAGAAATACCCTCAGAAAAATAGCGATTAAAACACACGGAAAGCAAGCAAGGAAATAAATAAACAATCAAGCAAGCAAGCAAAACTAGTGGACTAAAAAAAGTCAAAGATAATAAAAGAAGAATACATGAAATCGATTTTCTATTCAATCAATAACAAATTCATTGAACGCAATCCACTTATAACAGATATCCTGATAAGTAGTTAGATAGTTTGTGTAGCTAAACTCCTTGTTTATTGTATGAATATGCATGTTATTTAGTCATATATATATATATATATATACATCAAGAAGTTAAAACATTCTGGCATAACCCAATCCTTACTCCTACAATTCGTTAACTTTCGCATTCTGCCTAATATTCTCTATTGTTCCCCCTTAGTTTTTCCCGGGCTACTGAAGAAAGACTATAACATATTACACAGGATGTTAAAGATTGTCAGCAGGGTAAGCAACGTGCCACTTAACCAGCTTGTTAATATTCTGGTTGACAGGCAGGCACTTGGACTCATGTGAAAAATGGGCCAAATCCATTTTATCTAACTCACACCACCCTCTTCACTCACAACTCTCCCCTTGCATCTCATCAGGCAGAAACCAGAAGCCTATATAGAAAACTATATGCTCGCACCAGCAAGTACAAAAACTCAACCATACCCTACTTAGCTCGTGTTCTGTGCGATAAAGAAAGCATTAGGCGTGACACCTATAATTCGTTAAATAGTCAGTAGTACAACTGGATCTCGTCTTTCCAACTCATATCATTTATAGGTACAACATTTTCTTTCTTTCTTTTCCTTTTCTCTCTCTTCTTTTTCCGTTATGTGCTGCTTTGTTTCTTTCTCTCGCTTACGCCAGTTAATAAGACAGCTCCCACTTTTCTAACACCTTCAAACACCGTTTCAGCTTTACCTTTGCTACGGACATGCCAATGTATTGTTGTAATAATGAACTGTGGTTTCCTTAATCTATGTAGAATTCTATTTATTGATAATGTACTAACTGGATGCAATACTGTAGTAAAAATGCTGAGAATTCCATTCTGTATCACAAGTACTGTTTTGGAATAAAGCAAATTATATATATATATATATATATATATATATATGACTGATTGGTTTCAACGTAGAACTTTGCAGAGATGTGCAGCAGTTCGAGTTGCCACTCTCCCTCCATGTAGCACAAAAAGCAAGAGAAGAGAATAGTGAGAGATTCAACAAAGAGAGATAATAAACAGAAGTGTTAGGGGAAAAGAGTAGTCATATGGAAGAACAATAGAATTTTATTGGATATTATAAATCACAAGGAGTGGATGCATCTGCACCAGCTATTGACGAGGATTTTAAGCCAGCCATATGACTAATTGTCTTCAGCCTTCATTAGTTTTTATCATCTTGAGGACCCCAACCAAGAAGTCAGCCAGTCTACACCTCCGAACGTGACTGGCTCAAACTAACTGTTATGGATTTCATTGACTGATGAAGCCATGTTTTGGCTTGACCACCACTAGCTCTCTTTTCCAGTCTGACCCTATGTCAGCTAACATTCACCGTTGAGGAAGGCGATGGCTAGGCGTGCGTAACACATGTCCTAACCATCTCAATCTATGTAACTTTACAACCTCGTCAATTGATTTCCCCTCCTTAACTAGCACTCAACCGATGCCTAACCTCAATATTGCTCACCCTATTACACATACCACCTAACATGGGAGATAAAACACAGGCACCTATAATCAAAGACAACTAGCCGACCTTTTCATGTCTCCCACTCTCAATGGCCATGTCTCATAGCCATAAAGGAGGACGGAGTAGACTGCTGAGCAGTAAAAAAACTCAGCTGACGCCGGAGAAAAGCAATCAGGGTATGAATATATTTCAATTCGTCATTGAACTTAAATAGGCAAAAAGAACTATACTGTATCCGTAAACAAAAGAAACCTCTAGATATTATGCGATTGTAGCTCAAAGGTAACGTACTATGTGAAGTAATAACACGAACAAGTCAAGAAAATAAATCCAAAGAAATTTGAATGCCGGGATAAACCATAGGTCATACTTACTACACTACTTACTTGTAAAATTGCCTCTGGACTGCTGGCATTTAAACTCAGTTGGCAATTAGGCATTAAATTAGACTGCCATGTAGGAATTCTGACAATAGTAGACTGTTCCGACTGTTTCCCGTCTGGACTAGATATTGCCTGAGAGAATTCAAATCCACCAAGTTTCCATATTCCAAATCGATTAATCACGATAGATTCAGGTGTTAAATTCAAGTGTAGACGATGACAATCACAGTGGAGAAAGTTTAAAGCTTCAGCGAGCTAAAAAGGATTACAACAAAAAGAAGCGAAAGTGGGGGGGGGGGGGGGAGGGGGAGTCAGAGTCGACTTGTGTAAAAAGTTTTACAATATAGTTACAACATACATACATAATATATACAGTAGGGATATCATTCGTTTGCTAAAGTACTCAAACTTTCAGTCAATGGATCCTGGAGCTCGAATTCCACTCTAATTCCAATAGCCTGAACAACTGGGGGATACTACTAGCCCTTATACAGTATGTGTAGCGTATACTCTGATGGACTGACTGAGTGTCAACAGAGAACTTCGCGCACAATGGCATCAATTCAAGTCACCTCCCTCCACATAGCACACAGACGTGAAGAAAAAAAGAGACTCAAAAGGACTATAATGAGCAGAAATGCACTGGACAAAGAATAGTAACATGGAATGAAGACGAGAATTTAGTGGATCTAGGAGATTACAAAGAGAGAGTGCATCTGCACCAGTGAGAACGATTTTAAACAATATCACCAATTGTGTCCAGTCGTTAGTTCTTAGCACCCTGAAGATCTCAACCGTGCAGTCTACACCTCCCTACCTGGCTCAAACCCGCTTTCAAATACTTCATAGATTGATTTCATATGTTTTTATTCGACCACCACTCAATCTTTTCTAGTCTAAACCTATGTCGGCTAACGTTCCCTGTCGAGGAAGGAGGTTGCTCGGCATCTGAGACACATAGTACTAGCCACTTCGATCGATGTAGCTTCAAAACCGCATCCAATGACTTTCCATCTTTACATAACGCTTACACTTAACGTCAATATTACTCACCCTATTATGCCACCTAACACGGATAATAGAAGGCAAACATCTATGATCAAAGACAGGTATCCTTTTCATATCTTCGACTTTCAATGGCCACATCTCGCAGGTACAAAGGAGGACAGAGGGGAAGTACTGCACAATATACGCGTCTTATGATCGATAGTTGGATATCATACATACGCCTGAGATGCTGCATGTTAGCCTTTTGTATCCACTCATGAGATATCTCCAGTAATTAGTCTGGTATTTGGAAAATGTTTTCCGGATAGCTGGGTCTTAATTAGCATACTACACTACTTGAACACAGAATTAAAGGGAAGCATAAAGGAAGGAACTTTTTAATTCTGTAAGTCTTTAAAAGATGAAATATATACCAGCTCATCTATTATCAAATTCCTGTTTATTCGATCGATCAGATTTTGTTTCAGTTAATGGGAAATATATGAGAACAGACTAGTAGACTAGTTACTGTACCA